AGATTAGTACACACTTGCACCTGTGCAATGCCCAGCATTTTTGCCAAAATCACATGTCACAATAGACTGCAGAGCAATCGCATTGCACCATATGCACCATCAGTAGCAGTAGTGTGTTAGGTAGATTGGAGTGCTAAATGGATGTTCATTTCTAAGAAATCAGGTGTTGTACATAGAAACACATCTACGTTCCGGTATAGTCATGATATTCGACTCATTCATGAGCTAGTGTTAGATGTTGAGTAAGATGTGCTGTACTGTATTGAATAACAATTTTATTGACGATTTGTGTAATATGAAGCTCCATTCCATATTTAGTTGGTGCCTCCCTCCTTGACGTTTGCAGCTGTACATTGTGTTATGAATGAACTTGCAGAGTGCGCAGAATATCGAATAACGAGAATGAATTGATTATTGAATTATTGAATCACTGAATGCCGATACAATGAGACAAGCACGACGAAATAGGGGAAGTCCTAGCTAGGCGGAGAGGTTGGGCGAGGGTGGCTCGGTGACGGTTGCGATTGGTGCGGAGGCGACTCGGGAGTGGTTCGGTGCGACGAAATAGGAAGGACAGGTTCGTCGCGTGACCCTCGGGATGGCCTTGCTAACGAGTGCCCTAGTAAGGATTCTGTAAATCCTTACACTCTCCCACCTTCTAAATAAGGCAGTCTTGTACTGAAACAGGCCCCACACTAGCGAGGATTCCGTTGATCTCCTCTTGAGCTGAATCCGACGGCCAAAATGCCTTTGACAATAATTTTGAAAGGGTTGGAATGTAGGCCGTCGATGAAGTCCGATTTTGATCTGACGGTCGAAGATGAACTATCCCAAAATGAAATTGAAGTTGGAATGTGGGTCGTCGATGAAGCAGATGTGGATCTGACGGTCGAAGATGAACTAGCCCAAAATGAAGTTGAAGTTGGAATGTGGGCCGTTGATGAAGCAGATGTGGATCTGACGGTCGAAGATGAACTAGCCCAAAATAAAGTTGAAGTTGGAATGTGGGCCGTTGATGAAGCAGATGTGGATCTGACGGTCGAAGACTGACGCGAGATTGGAGGGAACCTGCTGGCGCGAAGTAAAACGCGATGGAGCAGGGACCGTTGATCGTGTCGGTGTGATCGCGTTCGTCCGTCGTGCTGACGCAACCTGACAAAGTCAGAAAGGACCAAGAAAAACGCCAAGGAATGAACAGTGCAAAGCACTTTCTCCCCCCCTCGAAGAAAGCACACCAGAAAATGTTTCACAGCTGCACCGAGATGAAAACCAACAAAAAGCCAGGCGTTAAGTCACGCGAATAAGAGCGTCGGATGTAAAAGTCCAGGCGAAATGTCGTCGGTGTGGAAATGTCGATGGCGAACCCAGGTTTACGTGCCCCAAAAAGTCTTCAAGGGCGAACCCGCGTAAGTAGACCAGAAACCGCGGCAGAAATTATGCGTTGCTCGAACTGAACCTGTTTTTGTCTCCACACGCCAGAATCATGCAGTATCTTCAGCAGATGCAGCTGGCAGCACCTGACGTGGTTGAAATCAATGGAGTTGTCGTGGGCGGGTCGAGTTGATGGATTTGTCGCTAGTAGAGTTGGAGCGGTTGTATCCCGAAATCCTCTGGCCGTGAAGTCGGGGTTGGTACGAAAATGTCGTCGGTGAAGGCGATTCGTTGTAAAGTCAAATACGAGCGTCGACGAAATTCGTTGAAGCAGTAACCGACATCGAATGTCACTCCGAAATTGATGTCGAGCACGATCTAGGGTCAGATGATGTCAGCACCTCCAGCGGTTTTGTCTTGACTCGCCGAGCCATTTGTCGTAGTGCGCCGAGGGCTCCTGGGCAGGGATGAAAAAATGCAGCTGTCTCTCCCTCCCCTTACTGTTGATGCTGCCTTCTTCAGTTCGTCGTAAGTCGTCGTACCCCTGAAAACTCCGTGTAGCTCACGCGTTATTTCTCAACGTGCTTTTCGCGCGTGTTTAACCAAACGCCGAAAACTCCTCCGAAATTGTTGTCGCTCCTTGCCGTAAACCTGTAAGTCCCGCGTAAACTCCGAAAATGTCGTTTCAACACAGCCCCGAAAATCCGCAGTCGCAGTAGCAGTTCGCCTCCGTAAATCTCGGACGTGCTATAGCCGCCCACTCGGTCACCGTCAGTTTCCTTCGGTTTGCCCGACCCCAGCATGTGGGTACAATCGAGAACCGGGGACTGCCATGGGTTATTCCGAGACCGAATTTCACGGAACCTAGTGGCATCAACGTCGTTGACGTCGTAGTCGAAAACTGCTTCCGCCGATGTTACTTAACAAAATAACCCCTTTCTCCCACCAGCGCTTTGCAGATGTTTCACCGCATCGCTCGTCGCCGGTCGATAAGTTCCCGAAGCTACGACTGCTCCCACGCTCCCTTTTTTCTGAAGAATTTCCCGAGGTGTGCGTTTTAACACCGGGGGTGCTAGGTCTCCTTGCCGCTGTGTTTCTTGCCAGGCAACTTCGAAAAGTGCCCTTCAGGCGAAGTCCCCCAACGACTCAACCGCACTCCAAGAAGCGAAGAAATACCCGCAACTTCAAAATTTATTCGGTCGTTTCACCCCCCGACAATTCTGCTTCCCGCCGTTCACCCAGCGTCCGCTTTTGTCGGATGGGGCATAGTCGGTGTTGCCCGCGCGAGCCCAGTTACGGTGGAGGGGCAAAAACTATCGGAGTCGGGGACCCTTATTTAAAAGGAACTGTCGCCCAACCGTTTTGCAGCCCACCGCGACCGTCACGCCACTAAACTCCACAGCATCCCGGTCCCCGCTTCGCCGCTGCGCCGTCACCTCGTGTAGACGCCCGGGTCAGGAGAAACTAGCGAACTGCACCATTGTTGTCATGCGGCGCCCTGATTTTTTCGCGTGCTGTTTCACCGAGCCCGTTTTTGTCGGAGTAGAACAGTACCGCAGCTCCCCTTTTTTTTTTTTTTTTTTTTTTGTACAGCTGTCGAACGAGCACCAACCCAGGTGCCTTTAACCAGCGCAGGGTAGGCCCGTGTTCACCCCCGTTATTCGGCCAAGTAAGTTGACTGCATGAGTCAGAACTAAAACTTGGTGGGGATGGTGAGGTTCGGGCGACGGAAGGTCATAGACTGTTCACACCGGCTTTTAACCTGCCCTTCACGCCGTTTCTCGACCCCCGCTTAGCCGTCGGGCAGTTTCTTCCCGTGTGTCCCGGCGGCCTGTACCGACTCCTCCGTAAATGTCGGGGCAGTACGTTGAACGCCGTTTAATCGTGGGTCGCTTGCAGCTGTCCCCGAAAATGACTTCTCTGGTAGGAGAACCCGCTCTCGAAACTGCCGGCCAGCTTGCAACAACTCCAGGCACGCAGCGTCGCACGAGTCGTTTTCCGAGGTTACCGGCCCCGGTTTCCCTCGTTGCCTGCGCCCCACTTCTTCTAAGTGCGATATGGCCACTCCGCTTTTCGTTGCAGCCCGTATGTGTCGGCGGGTCCGAAAATCCTGTCTGTCCACGTGCACTTCTGCCGAAAACGTTGATGACGCGCCCGCCAATGCAGTAAAGGCCGCTGCACTTAACACGTCGGGCGGGACGGCAGTTGACTCCCGCATAAATCGGGCAGTCCTCGTGGCGTCTCTCCTCGTCACCAGCTTTTTCAGACGCAAACTTCATTTGCGCCTGGCGAGTTCCCCAGCCGACCTTTTCTTCACAGCAGATCCGAAAGTGTCGCCCACAGTGACGCCACGTCCGCTGACGCCAGCTGCCACACAATCTTCCGAAATCGTCGGTAAATCGCAGCGGAAATAACTCACGTTTAACGTTGCGACAGCTACAGCTGTCCGTTGCCCAGGGGGAGGGAGGCCACGGTCGATCGCGACCGTTTGAGGCAAGGATCTGGCGGTGCCGAAGGAGTGCCCGTAAAAACATTGCCGCAAGGAGCAACTAACTAGTTCTCATGGCCGGCCTACGCAACCCCTGGACCCCAAGGCATCCTTCCTCGTCCCCCCCCCCCCCCCCCCCGAGGGGTATTAAAATAGCTCTGATACCAGGTGTTATGAATGAACTTGCAGGGTGCGCAGAATATCGAATAACGAGACTGAACTGATTACTGAATTATTGAATCACTGAATGCCGATACAATGAGACAAGCACGACTAAATGGGGGAAGTCCTAGCTAGGCGGAGAGGTTGGGCAAGGGTGGCTCGGTGATGGTTGCGATTGGTGCGGAGGCGACTCGGGAGTGGTTCGGTGCGACGAAATAGGAAGGACAGGTTCGTCGCGTGACCCTCGGGATGGCCTTGTTAACGAGTGCCCGAGTAAGGATTCTGTAAATCCTTACACATTGACTATCTGTAGTTGACAGTACGAATTTCGTGACTGCCTTGTAAAGCGACAGTTCAAGAGGCTGGGGTGAGTGGACTGGTGTTCCTTTGCTCCCTGTCGTCTTGCGTCATGTTTGGCGTCCATTCATTCCACTTGTAACCTACAAATGAGTTTAACGAACCACAGTGAGAACGTATGCCATCCTTCACGAAAAAGACCCATCAGAAGTCCGAAACCCAGACGTTTCAGGTGAAAGTTTGCCTTTTCTTTGACCTCCGAACACCTGCGCTTCCCCCACTCGGCCTACCCAACCCACTCGTACTGATGCCCTCAACAACCCCCGTCCAGATTTTCAGGTGTGACGCAGCAGAACAGGTGGCCACTGTAGCGGTACAGAGACTCCCAGGTCGAGCGGAAAATCGCCCGCACGTCTTTTGTCTCCCTTCGTTTGTCGCTTAGCGCCAAGCGTTTCCTCTCTCTCCCTTCGTGCTGCACCTCCCCTCTCCCGCACCTCCACGCCCCAACTGCGAGTGCTCTCAAGACATCGTTTCATTTTCCGTCTGGATCTAGAACTACACACAACCACCCGAGTAGCGATTTCCCTAACGTCAAGTCAGTTACCATTGTCGACAGGTGCCTCAACTCCATTCTCCGTCTTAGCATATTGTGGGACAAACCCTAGATCTTTTCTTGTCAGCCATGGCAAGCACACGCGTCCTCCTGGTTTCGCTCCTCATCGTATTGGTCTCCGCGCAGTTCGCTAGCGGGCAGATTCGTAGGAACGCCTGTCTGCCCAAGGACAAGTGCCCGGACAGAAAGAGCAAGCTCTGCGGCCTCTACGCCACATGCAGGACGCTGCAGAGCATTATCCCCGATACCAACTGCTGCGACGAATGCGCTGCTTACGACCTGTACGAAAGACTTAGCAAACACCTCCCGTTTAGTCCATCAAATAGCCGTTTGTGAAATGCCTTGTTAAAGCTTAGCTCCTCTATCTGCCGTCCTCATATGCTTCGTTTGAAGCCAGTCTTGCGGTTGGGTTTTCATTTCTTACATGCATCGTCTCGTGCGCGATTTCTTCGTCCAGGAAGAAGATGCCCGCTAGCGCCTGCAATTACACAACAGGTCGCTGCCTCGCCAACAAGATTGTAAGTACTTTCTCTTCCCTCGAGTTTGCTTGCTGCACAGGACTTTCAGTTCTGACCTTTTCATCGTCGTACTATCATTCGCAGGCCGGTAAGGCGTGCACCGCCAAGCAGTTCAACGCGGTCTGCGACAAAAAAGAGCCCGCTTTCACTTGCCTTAAGGTCGAGGGTGTTCCCATCACTAAGAAGGCACCCCAGGCATATCGCTGCTGCAGGAGGACTTGCCCCGTTGGCCTTTGCGGCAAGGGTTCGAAGCCGATCTCTTGGAGGAATGAGTGCAATGTTGTGCTCGACTGCCCCACTGCATGTGCTCCTCGTGCCGCGAACGCTGTCCAGGTTACATATTTGTAATTTGGTTATTCCATTGACCTTTTCCGTATAAGCCACACACTGTACCATGTTTCTATTCTGGTTTCGTTCTTTTGGTTTCCGTAGGTGAATTTGTTGTGAAACCTTGATTGATTATAAATGTCCAGCTTCTGCAGTCATTGTTCATGCAGTCTAGTAGCGGATCTCGTAGCGGACTAGTATTCGGCATACCTTTGCAATACTAGCATACGGTAAACATTTAAAAAAATCAAATGAACCTAGAGTTAACAGCTCTGCATCTAATTCCTCAGTAAGGTAACAAATGACTGTAAACCTGTTTCTTTCGGTTCGATGTCACAAATGATAGTACACCTATTACTTCAACCACTTTGCTCAGGTGTGTAGATGCGCGATGCGCGGAATGCCCAGGTGCATTGACATTTCGAAACGTGTGCGATTTTCTTACAATGACGAGTCAGCAACGTCAGCGCGTTTCATGCTGACCAATTAAAAATACAGTAATGGTCGCTAAAAGGGGACTGAGACATTTGTGTCGACACAGGAATGCACCCTTAGTCTTTGGATGTGAGGACAAGAATAGCGAGAACACCGATGAGAATGAACTGTAAGTTGCAACGCAGGGGATAGGCAAAATGGAGGCAGAGACGTTTCATAATACCACGAGTAACATTGGCATGCCTAAAACCAGAACAAAAGCAACGAAACAAGCGTTCAACATATGTACAAAGCAAACAAGTGTAGTGAAGGAACAATAAAAAGGAGGAACAAATGCAGTGCAAGTGCAACTTGTGTGGAGGAAGGAGGGAAGGGGGGGGAGGGCAGGGCGGGGAGAGCATATGGTATGGAGGCAGGAGATATGGGCGGGGCGGGGGGAGGTAAGGGAGGGTAAGAGTATGGGGGAAGAGGGGATGTACAGGGTATGTTGTGTTTAACTACTTTGATGTTATCATAAAAAAGGGTAAACTGTATTACTGTACCTTGATGTAGGGGTGTTCAGTCATGATAATGGTGACGTAGCCGATATAGGGGAGGTACCTGCATCGGCGAAAAGAAGGGGCACAGCGCATTAGCACACATGGGCAAAGGAACAGCTGATGCCTGCACTCACCTAGTTACCCCATCCCACCACACCTCATGCACGCCCCATGCACGCCCCATGCACGCCCTGTGCACGCCCCATGGATGTTCAACTCACCCCATGGCGCGCCCAATGATGTGCTTCTTGCGCAGCCACAGCTGCCCTTCCGCATACAGTGGCAGATCGTCCCCTTCGTTATTGTCACCTGCAGGCGCACAAAAAGAGAAACACACACGCACACGCACACGCACACGCACACGCACACGCACACGCACACGCACACGCACACACACACACACACACACACACACACACACACACACACACACACACACACACACACACACACACACATGGTGAGTCATTAAACAAAACCAACCAAGCATGGTGCAGCATGAAGACACCCTACAACACGTGCACGCTATGCATGTTAGACACAGTCACCAGCAGAGGGGCACCAGGGCAGGGAGGAGACAGGAAGGAGAAGAGGCATGCGGGAAAGAGGAAGAGAAGTGAAAGGACGGAAGCAGGAACGGAACGAGTTGAGGAACGAAGAGGGAATGCGAATTGCTGGCATACACTTAGTGAGCGCCAGAATTTTCTGCGACGTTCAGAGCAAGGGTGCCTCGCCTACTGTTAGAAAAAATATCCTCCAGCCTACCTTTTGTGAGTGCCTGAAACTCGTCAGGGTCGGCCTCTTGGTGGACCTGGGGATGGTGTGAAGAGGCGGAAGAGGGTGTGGGAGAGGAGGGAAGAATAGTGTGACATGTCAAGTGGCAAGAAAGTAATTTCATTGATCGAAATTCTGAGCCAAGGATGGTATAAATGGTCAAAGACAAGTAGGGGTTCAGAAAGAAAACATCAATATAAGATACTGAGGTTAGAACTAAAGAAAATGTGATGATGCATCTGAGAATGGGGTGAATCAACGTGCACGTTTTGGAGTTGGGAAAGCAGATGTACCTTGATCACACGGTGCACAATGGGAATGTCTCGACCCTGTGTGTGTTAAAAATAAGAGAAAAGGGAAGGGTATTGCACGGAAAAGTGGGAGAGAATATTTTTTATTATTATTACTGAAAGTTAATCATGTAGAAGTTACTGCAGCATCGCATGGTAGCACAATCCAATTCAGTTAATACAAGTGTAAGTGTTGAAAACGGAAGGAAAGAAAAAAAGCATGCAAGACTTGCATTTAAGCGTTACGTTCATGCAGCGACATGTGCGATCCAACATTCTGTGGCAAGCCTCATATCTACGTGGCATGACTCACATCCACGTGGCATGACTCACATCCACGTGGCATGCCTCACATCCACATGGCATGCCTCACATCCACGTGGCATGACTCACATCCACGTTGAAGACCACGATCTCCCCCACAGAGAGCGGCGTTGGGTTCATGTGGAGAAAGAGAATGTCGCCCTGCAAGGGAGGGAGGGAAGGGGGAAGGAGGAAGGGGGAAGGGGGAAGGGGGGGGGAGAAAGGATGGGGGACGGTTTTGAGAGGCGTGGGGTTGTGGAGAAAGAGAATGCCGCGCAGCACATGGAAAGGAGGGAAAGAGGAAGGGAGGAGAGAGGCGTGAGATGAAGCATGGAAGGGAGAGGAATGATTTCCCTGACCACTAGCACAGATGCAACACATGCACCACTAGCACAGATGCAACACATGCACCACTAGCACAGATGCAACACATGCACCACAACAACACTGGTCCATCTCTAGCTTTCATGTAAGCGTTACAATCCCATAACGTTGCTACGAACGCAGAGAAGCTCGTACGCGTTTTAAGCTGGGTTCCATGGAGCGCCCGAGCACGATGACAATACAAGGGGGTTTCATTCCATAAGAGGGAATAGGAGAGGGGAGGAGGCACACGTGCACAAGCCCGTGTATACTACTCGTTATAAGGCCAGGGCAACTCTTACTCGTTTGAAGCCGGGTTCCATGGAGCCTGAGAGCACGACGACAACTGGCGACTCGCTATTGGTCCAGCACATGAGGCCCTTCCAGATGACCAGCGCTGACGTCACTATCATGCCTGGAAGACGTGGAACAGCGGGGATAGCGAGAGAAGAAACGGAGGGGAGAGATGGGGGGATGTAGGGAGGAAGCGCGGGTGGGAGGGAGGGCGGAGGGAAGGGGAAATGGTAGGGGAGAGAGGGAGAGGGAGAGGCACAGAACGAGGAGAAGGAGAGACGGAGAGGGAGGAAGAGAGGAGTGTTTTGCGAAAATAGTGAGACGGGAAGGCAGAGAGAGGGTAACAGACAGCTTTAAGCCATTACGAGACCCAGGTTTCGTGCCATAATGTTTTGCGAAGTTAGTCACGGGAGGGTTCACTGAAGGGGGAATTTAGTCATGTTTGGGCCGCAAACGGGAAACAGGACCTTAGCAGTTACTATGACAGCGATACGGGTTCAGATCCTTGCAAAAATCTAGAGGACCAGACAAATCTTGCCATAAAAAAAAAAGAAACAGGCACTTTTCCCTTATGTCATTCGACACAGGCAACGCTAGGGAGAAAAGGGAAAAACAGAAACAGCGTATACAAGCGCTTGATATCAGTATTAACACGCATCCAGGCCGCGGGGATGGTTCGGGCTCGCTGGATTGACCAGACGGAACCAAACCATACCTAATTGTCGAGTCGACGCGCACACTCTCATGCCGGCGAAGATGTGCCTTGCGAATCGGCCGATTTACATGACGCGCAAAGTCATTCCAGCAACAAATCGCATGTAGCGACCGATCGCACGCACCTAACCCGAGCGCCTGCATAATAAAGTGTCGCACGCTCATCGCGTCGTTCGAGAATCAAACAAAAACACCTGCAACAACAAAAAGTAATTATAGCGACCGATCGCACGCACGTACCTAACCCGAGGGCCTGCATGATGAAGTGTCGCACGCTCATCGCGTCGAACCACCCGCCGGTAGACATGGCTGCCGGCCGGCCGACAATAGCCAGTTACAGCAGCAGCAGACGGCAGTGATGAGACGAGTAATTAAACCCACAGCAGTCTCAGGAATGTACGGAGAACTAGCCGTAGGATGCGGGATGCACGTAGATCCTAAGGCTCAACAGCCTGCAATTACCAACAGAAAATTCCTGCCAGTACAGGTTTTACTGGGAGCTCCGCTAGAGGGGTCACTCTCTAAACTGTTAGGAAGAACCCTTTCAAATAAAGTGTTCAAGTGGAATTCAGGTTCTGATAATAAGCTAGTAGATTACGTCATTAGGTTACCAGGTAGGAGGCCCATCTGGACAGTTTACATAATCAGTTTCTTTAAACTTGATACCTACTCATACGGTTCGGACATTTCTTTGGACATTTCATCCAACAATATACACAACATAAAAGAGTGCCTATCGTACCGTCCTACCTAGTTCGACAACCTATCTATACATCATTAATCAGCTGCTGCCATGCTCACCACATAACTAATTCGTTCTAGGTTGCCCTCTGGAGCACCAATCGCAGCATCCAAAACCCCGGGGACCCCAACAAGCGACGAATAATATTCCACAACATCCATCTCACTCTGTTCCTCCCTCCTCTCACCACCATTTGCTTTCTCATTCTTGAACCTGTCTTGATCTCCCAACCTAAGTCTACACTCCTCGCCACACACATCCAACATCTCTTCTCTCCCGGTCGCCCACATCATGGCATCAGCGATTTCAGCTGCCACCCATGCATCATCTACCTCTTCCCTCTCCTCCTCCCACCCCACCCACTCCTCCCCACCAGCAAAAGCACCCCCTTCCCCACTTTCCGCTCTTCCTCCCCATGGCCCTTGGTCAAGCAGCCTTTCATCTCTCTTAGCGAAGTCATCTGTAGCAAGAGGAGCATAGCTTGGAAGAAAAGAGGGGTTGTGAGCTGCACCCGGGGAGTCCACAGCAGAACTTAGCGAGACGTGCTTGGCTAAGTGATGGGCTGCTGAATCCACTGCTGAGTCGGTGACGGTTGTTGAAGCAGATGCTGCTGATGCTCCTGATGAGGAGGAAGAAGGCTCGGGGGAGCAAGGGCGAGGGGAGCACGAAGAGGAGGTGTTGACTGATCCGCAGTTGTTAGGAGCAGCAGGGCTATAGAGGGCAGGCTCTTGGCGTAGCTGCTGCTGCTGCTGCTGCAATTGTTCGTCCCGGTGATGTTGATGCTGCAGCAGGTGATGGTGGTGGTGGTGCTGCTGCTGCTGCTGCTGCACCTGCGGTTGTTGCTGGTGGTGGTGGTGGTGGTGCTGCTGCTGCTGCTGCAGGTGATGGTGGTAGTCGTGGTGGTAATGCTGCTGCTGCTCTTGCTCCTCCTCCCCGTCCTCCTCCTCCTGCTGTTGTTCCTGCCCCCCCTGCTGCATCCCCACTAGGGGTGATGTCACCGAGCAACCAGGCGACCCTGTTCCTCTCTCTTCCCTATCCTCTCCCAATCTCCCCTCCTCCTCGACTGAGAAGGAAAGGAAAGAGGACTCAGACGAATGCTCCATACCGCCTCGCACCCCATTCTCACCAGTCGCAATAGGCTCTTCACCATGAATCTTTTGGGGCGCCGCAAAGAAAGGGTCCATACCGTCTTGCACCGCATTCTCACCAGGCGCAATTGGCCCTTGACCATACATCTCCCCCTCAGCACGCCTTTCCTTGTCTCCACCCTCGTCTCCACCCTCCTCTTGTTCAGACTCCTCACCTGCGCCCTCACCTACCCGTCTATCTTCTCCCTCTTCCCATCCCTCATCCTCCCTTAATGCCTCTCGCTCTCCCACTCCTCCCCCATCGTCTCCCCCCTCCCACACCACCTGCCCACTGTCTCGTTCAGTGAGACCAGCTATGTGCATGCCTGAGTCGGCGGATGTTGCCGATGCTCGAGCTGCAGTGGTGTAACCAACGGGGAATAGGGAGAGGGAGGAGGAGGGGAGGGGGGAGACAGGGAGGTTAGCAATGCAAGTGTGAGTGTGTGACTGTGCCTGTGTACTACAAGTGGCCACACCACCTGCCCAATGTCTCGTTTAGTGAGTGAGCCCAGCTGCATGCATGTCTGAGCCGGCGATTGTTACTGATGCTCGAGCTGTCGTGGTGTTATCATGCCCATGCCCATGCCCATGCCCATGCCCATGCCCATGGATCTGACTCCCCAGGAATGTACACACATGCAAGCATAACATAACAGTACCTGCTCCCGGCGCTCGTTCGTGTCTCGGCCCAGCTGCCGACATGCTATGTCCATGCCCGTGAATCTGACTCCCCTGCACGAACTCTGCTACAGCCACCGCTACATCCGGCTGTGCCGCCCTGTCTAGCAGCGCAAGGAAGTCAGTCAGTTCCTGTGGCAGTGCAAGGGATGAGATGAGAGGGGACAGAGAGAAGAGGCAAACTGTGAGGTGAAGCTACAACTGGCTGTGCCGCCCTCTCTAGCAGCGCAAGGAAGTCCGTCAGTTCCTGTGGCAGTGCGTGTGGGGGATGGACAGGGGAGCTTGTGGCAGTGCGTGTCGAGCTTTGAGGCGCCAAAAGAATCTGCCTGCGATGCACTCTCTAGCAGCGGAAGGAAGTCAGTTAGCTCCTTGAGCAGGGCAGGCAGGCGGGTCTTGGGATCGCTGAGCAGTGATGCATACACACTAGACAGGCACATGAGGTCTCAACCCAGCGTACTGAGTTGGGGAGCAAGTCTATGAGGCTTGGCTTCTCAGGAAGGTAGGGCCAATCTGTGCCACCACCTCCCCCAGACACCGCGCTGCTGGCAGGCGGGTCTTGGGGTCCTTGAGCAGTGATGCATGCACACTAGACAGACACATGTCACATGAGAGCCCAACCTAACGTACCGAGTCAGGGAGCGAATCAATGTGAGCTGCCAGGAACACAGGGCCGATCTGTGCCACCACCTCCCCCAGACACCGCGCTGCTGGCAGGCGGGTCTTTGGGTCCTTGAGCAGTGGGAGGAGACGCACGCCCCACTGCCTGATGCTCTTGGCTGGATGGGAGGGAGGGTGGGAGGAAGAAGCATGGGTGCGTTCCCGTGTGAGTGAGTGAAGAATGGAGCGAGCGAACGAGTAAAGCAGGTGAGGGTAGAAAGGAACTCTTTCGACTTGTCTCGAAGTACTTCTTCTGAAACCACCACTCATCACTCCTCGCTTTCGAAGGAACAGGTACTGGAAACTGAGATTAGTCAAAGCTGACGTAGCTAGAGGCTCAGGCTCACCTTCCGCTGTGCTCTTTCTGACCCGAGCCAATGCACTCCCACAACGCTGCCTCCCTCCTTCCCCCTCCTCCTCACCCCCGTCCTCCCCCTCCCCTCCCTCCTCTCTCTCCTCCTCTCTCCCCGCCCTCCCCCTCAGCACCTGCTTTGCAAACTCCACCACACACACCCGCACCCTCGGCCCCCTCTGCCCCTCCAACGCCCGCTCCAGCATCACGTATAGCACGTCACTTACCTGACACCAATGGATCACCTTCGTCTCTTCGAATTTCTTACCTGACACCAATGGATCACCTTCGTCTCTTCGAATTTCTTACCTGACACCAACGGCGCACCTTCCACTGTGCTTCTTCTGACTCGGACCGCTGCGTTGCCACCACGCTGCCTCCCATTGTGCTCCTCCTCTCCTCCGTTCTCTTCCTCTCCCCCCTCCTCCCTCTCCTCCTCTCTCCCCGCCCTCCCCCTCAGTACTTTCTCTGCAAACTCCACCACACACACCCTCACCCTCGGCCCCCTCTGCCCCTCCAAAGCCCTCTCTAACACCGGCAGCAGCACCTGCACAGCCTCCCCTTCTCCCCATCTCAACCCCTCACCACTCCTCTCCACCTCACCCAACCCCCCATTCACCCCTCCACACCCATGTCCACGCCTAAACCAGCTGTTTAAAGCACAATCCAGTATCCCCTCGGCCTGTGCGCGCATGCGGTCTTTCCCAGTGTCAGCCACGCGGGAGAAGAGAGGGGGAAGCCATTTGTCAAGGTGGGGGGGGGTGAGGATGGCCGGGCAGTGCAGCACGAGGTCTTCTAGAAGGGCCAGAGCTGCAGAGGCGACTTTGGTGTGGGCGAATTCCATCCCCGTTACTAACAGCTCCACTACCCTGTCCAGGTGCTGCAGGGGCAACGGGGAGAAAACGCGGGAAGAAAAGGGGAAAACGGTGATGAAGTGAGCTCAGTAACATCCAGTATCCCCTCTGCGTCTCGGCCTGTGCGCGCATGCGGTCTTTCCCAGTGTCAGCCACGCAGGAGAAGAGCAACGTGAAGTGAGGGTGTTTTTGAGACGTCTCAAAAGAATCCCCTCTGCATGTGCGCGCATGCGGTCTTTCCCAGTGTCAGCCATGCGGGAGAAGAGAGGGGGGAGCCATTTGTCGAGGTGGGGGGGGGTGAGGATGGGCGGGCAGTGCAGCACGAGGTCTTCCAGGAGGGCCAGAGCTGAGGCTGCCACTTTGGTGTGGGCGAACTCCATCCCCGCTACTAGCAGCTCCACTACTCTGTCCAGGTGCTGCCAGGGGCAAAACACGGGGGAGAGAAGAGGGGGGAGGGAGGCAGGGGTGGAGGTGAGGGGGGGGCGAGAATGGGCGGGCAGTGCTGCAGGAGGTCTTCTAGGAGGGACAAAGCTGAGGAGGCGACTTTGGTGTGGGCGAATTCCATCCCCGCTACTAGCAGCTCCATTACCCTGTCCAGGTGCTGCCAGGGGCGGAAAAGGGATAAAAGGGGAATCTGTGATGGGGCGAACACACTGACATCCCCAGGCATGGCAACACAAAAAGCATGCACCTTCACAACGGCCTGAACACCCTTGCAGCTCACCCCTTCTTCCCCTCTTCCGTCCGTTCAAAATCGACTCATAGACACGCTCTAAACCCACTGCCCAACCCCATGCACGTACCTTCACAACGGCCTGAACACCCTTGCAGCTCACCCCTTCTTCCCCTCTTCCGTCCGTTCAAAATCGACTCATAAACACGCTCTAAACCCACTGCCCAACCCCATGCACGTACCTTCACAACGGCCTGAACACCCTTGCGGCTCACTCCATCTCCCTCCGCTCCTCCCCACGCCGCCTCATCCCCTCCGCCCATCACACACCCCCTCACAGCCTCTAATGCCGCCACCCGTCTCGACCAATCACAACCCTTCCGCAACCCCTCCTCTACTTTCAACCTCATCTCCTCCCCCACATCCTGATGCTGCTGTGGCTTATTTCGCTGTGTCCGATCCCTCCCTCCTCCTACCCCTGCTGCTCCTACTGCTCCTCCTCTCGCCCCTATAGCTCCCGTTAAGCGTGTCCCTCCGATTGCTCCTGCCCCTCCTGTTGCCCCCATCCCGCCAGCCCCATAGCTGCTGGAAACACTCCGTCTAGCAGGCCTGGGAGCAGGAGCAGCAGCAGTAGGAGGGAGGGATGCCCGTGCACGAGCAGGAGGGGGTGGGGAGTGGTTGGCGTGTCGTGGTGGCATAGAAGCTCGTGGTGCGTGCTGCTGCTGACGGTGCTGCTGTTGCTGCTGCTCATGTGCAGTTTGCACTGCTCCAGGTAGCGAGCCTCTTCTCCTGCTAGCGCCTGCTCCCACTGCTGCTGCTGCTGTTCCTCCCGCTGCTGCTGCATTAGCGCCAGGCCGAACGAGCCCACTTGCTGCTCTCGTCCTTTCCTCACCCATACTCCCCCCAGCCTCCTCACTCACTCGCACTAACCCCCCAACAGACCTCCTCGCATGCACCACCCTCCTCTCCCCACCAGCAACCCCAACCCCAACCCCCCCAATCCCACCTCCCGCAATTCCGCCTCCACTCACGTTCCCCGTTCGCACCCCAACTCCCCCCTTCCCCTCCGCCTCCCGTTCCCCCAGCGCCTCTCGCCCCACCCTGTTCGCAGCTGTCCCTAGAAGTTGTGAAGGCACCAGACCTTCGAGATTGGTTGACGCTGCAATGCTGTGCCTCTGCCTCCTCGGCCCAACCCCACAAACACCTCCTCCCGCTGCCGCTGCTCCACCCCATCTCCCCTGCACGTTTTCCTTCATAGGAACATCGTCTATAGAAACACGCGCCACACCAGCAGCACTACCAGCACCAACACCAGCAGCAGCAGCAGCACCAGCACTGCGGCTAGCAGAGTCAAAGTCCAAAACACGGACTATCTTGGGGGATAGGTTCAATTCACTCCCAGGTGAACCTCCCCCAGATGACACCCCGTCTCTTGCATACTCAACATCATAATCATCACTGTCAGCAGCAGCAGGACCAGCTGCAGTGCCAGTCTCACTCGTTGATATCACTCTCTGTGGACCAATCCGTTCTCCCCTCCCAGCTGGCCCAGCAGCCCTGGATCCCACAACACCTGCTGATCCAGCTGCTACAGCTGCCCCTGCTGCCCCTGCTGCTCCTGCCCCTGTTACAGAGCCATCTCTCCCTCCTCTTCCTCCTTCTCCGCCTGCTCCTGCCACAACCCTCACCGCTGCTGCAGCAGCAGCAGTGCCTTGTGCACCCAGCCTCACACCCCGCACCAGCCCCATCCCACCTCCACCTCCTCCTCCCCTTCCTTCCCCTCCTCCCCCACCACCACCTGTAGCAGCAGCACTACCAGAGGCACTTTCCCCCCTGACAGGCTGACCCGCTGTGTAGTTCAAGCTAAGACTCGCCAGTCCCCCCCTTGCACCCTCTGCTACAGTCGCCCTACGAGCCGCACCAGCAGTACCAGCTGTAGCAGTAGAGGCTGTACCAGCGGCTGTAACAGAAGTGGCAGTAGCGGTTGTGGAAGCACCCACTGTCGCAGAGGCTGTAGCAGCGGCTGTAGCAGAGGCAGCCTGTCGCCTAGCAGCCATGAGGTTCCCAAGGGCAGCAGAGGAGCGAGGCAGGATGGGCTGGGGGCTGCGAGCACGTGAGGGCGAGGGGCGAGGAGGCGGGTCCCTCTTTGAGTGCGCTGAAAGCACTGCTGACTTGTCCTCCTGAGCCAAAACCTGGGAAGGAAAAGGGAGGAAGGAGGAAGGAGATATGAGAGCGAGGCAGGATGGGCTGGGGGCTGCGAGCACGTGAGGGCGAGGGGCGAGGAGGCGGGTCCCGTTTAGAGTGTGCTGACAGCGCTGCTGACTTGTCCTCCTGAGCCAACACCTGGGAAGGAGGAAGGAGGAAAAAGGGAAGGAGGAAGGAGAAAGGAGATATAAGCGCGGGGCAGGTTGGGCATGCGAGGGAGAGGGGCGAGGAGCATCTTTGAAGTGCGCTGACAGTGCTGCCGACTTGTCCTCCTGAGCCAACACCTGGGAAGGAGGAAGGAACAAGGAGGAGAAAGGAGAGATGAGAGCGAGGCAGGATGGGCTGGGGGCTACGAGCACGCGAGGGCGAGGGGGGGGGAGGCGGGTCCTTCTTCTAGTGTGCTGACAGTGCTGCTGACTTGTCCTCTTGGACCAATACCTGGGAAGGAGGAAGGGACTTGCCCAGAGGGGAGTCAGCGACTTCAGAATTTCTTTCCTTCTCAACCTGCCAACAACCTCTCACCTTCTCCCATTCTTTCCACCTCCCCACCTCCCCACCTCCTCGCCTCCCCACCTCCCCACCTCCTCGCCTCCCCACCTCCCCACCTCCTCACCTCCCCACCTCCTCACCTCGCCACCGCCTTACCTTCTGCACCGTGACATCAAACGAGGAGTGCAGCCGGGCGGCCCTCTCCGGCCACAAGTGGGAGAACTCCCGGAAGCTGCGCCTGGCTGTGGCTCGCACCTGGTAAGCAGGAGGAGAGAAGACGTGGGGAGGGAGAGGGAGAGATCACTTGAACCGAGGGAGAGGACGAAGCCATATGAGCAGAGGGAGAGAGAAGAGCATGTGAGCATGGAGTGCGGGAGAGGGCATGTGAGCGTGGGCCGAGGAAGACGTCAATTCGGCATGCTTCATTGCACAGCCTTGCCTCCTTGTGTGATAAGTCGATCTTTGAGTCGACTCAAAAAGAGCATGCGAGCATGGGGCGACGGAGAGGGCATGTGAGAATGGGCCAAGGAAGACGTCAATAAGGCATGATTCATCGCACGGCTTTGCCTCCTTCCTCTGCCGCACCTACCACACTGCCTTGCTTCCCCACTCCTCTCTCATCCCCTCTCACGTCTCTCGTGTTATTCTCTCACCTCTTTCGTTCTGCTTCTCCTCTCTCCCATTCACCTTTCCCATCTATCCATCACCTCCTGTGTGCCATCCTGCACCCCGCTGCGAATGCTGTTCTCAATCACATCCACCATCATCCCCTGTCTCCACTCGCTTGTGCCCTTCCCTAGAGTCAAAACCTTCCTTTACCCCTCTCCTCTCTTCCTCCCCACCGTCGTCCCATCCCTTCTCTCACTGCTCACCTCCCGTGTGCCATCCTGCACACCACTGCGAATGCTGCTCTCAATCGCATCCACCAGCATCACCAGCTCGCCCTGCGGGCCCCACACCTCTAACGCCAGTAGAACATACTCCGCGCACCTGGTGGGGGGAGGGGGGGAGGGGAAAGACGGGAGAAGTGGAATAGGGGAACGACTAGACCAGCTGGCCCTGTGGGCCCCACACCTCCAGCGCCAGTAGAACACACTCCGCACACCTGGGGAGGGGGCGGGGGAAGAGAGGAGGAAGAAATGGGGAAATGGGAGCTTTGAGTGGAATAGGGGAACGATTAAACCAGCTCCGCATACCTGGCAGGGGATGGTTGTGTAGGGGTATCTGGAGGGAGTGTGTGATGCAGGGATGAAGCAGCAGGCCGATTCCAAGAGCTCCTAAAATACGTTGCAAGAGCTTTTCTCACTGCACACCTCACCCGAACCCTCCTATCCCTTTACTGTCCTTCCATGCCCCCTTCTCCATAACCCTACCCCTTGTGCCCTATAAACTCACCTGCTCCTCACGACTGTGCTTTTTGACGCCCGAGCTGTCTCAAACACCTTGCTCAGCGTGCGGGCGGGTCTGCAGCGCATCACCACCTGGTAAGGCAATAGGATGGCACGAACAAGGTAGAAATTTGAAAGAACGAGGCCAACGGCATAAGGGATAATTTCCGGACATTGCCTATCGCGCAGGGGGGATCACGGGGTAAGGAGAAGTAAGGGACAGCGGCAGGGAAGGGGAAAGGAAAGGTGACAGTGACGTGGTCAGGGACGGGGACGGGGACGGGGACGGGGACGGGGACGGGGTCGGGGTCGGGGACGAGGGAAGGGGGACAAGGGACGGGGGTGGTAACACTAGAGAGGACAGAGATAGGGAGGGATAGCACAAGAAAAGGCGAGCTCCCAGTTCGGGAGGTGGAGTGTGCAGAGTCGGCCATGATAGCCGCGGACGACCCCAGGAGCAGAGAGATATAAAGAGATGTATAGAGATGTATAGAGATATATAGAGATATATAGAGATACATAGAGATATATAGCACCAGAGATGGCGCGGACACACAAGTCGGGAGGCGAGCTCACAGTTCGAATGGTGGAGTCAGCTGAGTCGGCCATAATAGCCGCAGACGACCCGAGCAGCTTCATAAGCTCCTGATGGGCGGAGGGGGGTGAGAGGCAGAGAGCATGGCGGAGGGGAGTAGGTTAGGGTTTGAACTTGACTCAAATCAGGAGCGGACGACCCGAGCAGCTTCATCAGCTCCTGATGGGCGGAGGGGGGTGAGAGGTAGGGAGCATGACGGGGAGCAGGTTAGGGTCTGGAGTTAGGGTTGAAGAATTCCAAATGAAGAGCGGACGAGCTGTGACTTGTGAAGGCACGCAGTTGCATCGCTGGCACATGTTAGGTGTGAGAATGCGTGTAAAATGGGGAATCGCGTACCTGAAGCACGATATCCGCGCATGGTTCGAACTCCCCGGACAGGCACTCAGCGATTGCTGACACGAGGTTGCACGCCTGCAATCAGAAACACGCACGTGTGCAGTCAGAGACATGCACGTGTGCAGTCAGAGACATGCACGTGTGCTGGCAGAATCAAACACGTGTGCAGTCAGAATCAAACACGTGTGCAGTCAGAAACAAACACGTGTGCAGTCAGAGACACGCACGTGCAATCAGAGGCATGCACGCACGCTCAGAGACACGCACATGCAATCTAAAACGCCAAGTTCGTCCCCGGTACTCTGTTTTGTCACGCATCTAACCTATTATTCGCCCGCTATGGCAGGTTGGCATCAAGAGTATCCTTCCGACCTTTCATAACGAACCACGCACTGGCTGCTAGTGGCCGAAACCACTACTGCTGGTCATCGAGTTACCTGCTCCACGAAGATCGACCGTCAGGTTACCTGTTTGACGGCCAGTACTCGGCCGTCCCAGATGGAGGACCTTGGGCCGGCCGTCAGGTTACCTGCTGGACGACCTTGGACTGACCGTCTAGTTTACCTGCTTGATGATTTTCGACCGGCCGTCTTGGAGTTGGACGGCAAGGTGAGGCATGGCCAGCTGCCGGAGCAGAGCCGATATTCCCGTTACTCCAGATCGTGCGGCTGAGATCAGATCATCGGGAATCGGGAATCAAAACCAAGGAAAGGCACGAAGCCGAAAAGTGTTTTTTGCCCCTTGTACGGGCGACGCATAGACTACCAAATGAGCTGGAGCAGTATTCTGAGCAGGTAAGGACAGAACAAAAGTTCAGGAAGCTACACCGTGTAGAAAATCACAATGGTTGTCACTACGGCGGGGGTTTGAAATTGTGAGAGAAGGAGCATATGAAAATCAAAGTCTACAATGAGACTAGTAGAACGTTGAATCGAACTGCAAGCTCGTAGAGGGACACCTTGATGACGACAATCTCTGAAACTTGCTCTGCATCGAACTCCAAATCTCCTAACTTGACGCTACTTTGAGCTATGCATGGAGAGCACGTACCGCCTCGGAAGAGGCCCTCGAGGCGCTTCAGGGCGGCCATGCGAGCATCCCAGTCCGTCTGAGGGTCCAATTTCGGGAAAAGAGCCTCTACGTCTCGGACCAGCTCCCTCGCGTTAGCGACATGGATTACGTTAGCGGCCATGGCTGTAGACTGAGTGAAGGTATTTCTTCTAGCTTATTTCCTGACAGCGGGTGCTTGAAAGCGTCGAATAGCGTCCTGATTGGTCCAAGAGAAGAGATTTTGCTTCTAGTTTACAAATCTAGAGCTTTGGGAGGAGGCGAACCGAACACGTGTCTGATCCATGTCTTGTTGATAAGTCACCGTTAAATCGGAGTCAGCATAGCACATTCGAAATGCAACTACCGCGCAGAGGAAAAGTGACTTTCCAGGAAGAAGTACTCCCAACGCACCGTCCGTACTAGTGGTAACCAGCAACAACCTCTTGCTTTAGCCCTTAAGACTACAGAACAAGACCACAAGGTCACGAGTAGGCCACCATATTCTGCTGACCACGCTGGCCATGTGAAAGACAGTTGCAAGAAGAAATATGTCGGATGAGTGGTGGCCTAGAATGCTTGCTCTCCTGTGGGTTGTATTTAGGGAAGAGCAATGGTCGGGACAGGAAGTTTGCATATTGGGATCAGAAGCGGCAGGTAAAAGTGCATTGGGATTGGTTGGAGCCGAGACCGAGGCATCGAGACAACTAAATTGGATCATGGCACTTGTGGGCCGAGAGGCGCACAGATCGGTTTGGAGATTAGCCAGTGCGGTACATCTCGGTTTTTCTACCTCAACCACTTTTGACCGTAAACCACCAGGCAAAACCGTAGTCCGACCTTGAGCACATGGAGCCAAACATGTGTTAGCCAAGCATTTGCTGGTGTTGGAACCAGTCTGCCGAGCATACTCCGCCTGCGAATTTACCGTAAAGGAACATCGCGATTGGTGGGGTTCAGGGTCAGAAAGAAGCAAACATTCTGGACCTTGTCGCGCTTTGGTTTGTGCAGCAGCGGGATTGACATCTATGAAAACTTCAGCTGGATGTTACCACATGCGACCAGGCCGTTGGAGGTTTTGGCGGTACAGCGTCTGCGCTGTCACAATCGTGAGCTAACACATTTTTGGCGCCAAAATGCTATGGTCAGGCGAGTCGAGCCGCGTTCCTGGCATAGCGATCTGCTTCTGACAAGTCTGAACAACCACCAATAGCAACGAGCCTGACGGGAATCTACACCCAGATTTGAAGTAGTGCTGTTAGAGGGGTATTTACTGTTCATTCCGAACAGTACATTCCTAGTCACCATTATCCTTATCTTCTCAGATTCTCTAGTGCCACGTGGCACTCTACTTTTCTTGCACTCCAATTCTTGGTCCCACATTCCACTTTCCAACCTTGTTTCTTGCATGCTATATAAACCTTGCTTGTACATGCCATTATCAATCAATTCTCATTCAACTCTTCTTCAATTACTCAGTAACTTCTTCGCCTATTTCGCCAATAGTTCTTTCGCCAAAGTCTTCCGCCACGTTTCATCCTCGACTTAGTCGACCCCACTAATTCTTTAGCGGACTTAGGTCGTTGGGCCTAACACTTGGTATCAGAGCCTTCGCGGGGAGCGACTTCCAACGAGCGACCGTCGACGACGAGACTACGACGTCATCGTCCCGCGGTGCCGACTTGCAGACTTGGAGTCGTTAAGCGAACATGGACGAAACTATGCACGCAGTCCCCCACGACATGGGCAACACGCTTTCCGAACTCATGCGCCAACTTCAAGAGTTGACGCTGGAAAATCGACAGGTACGAGCTGAAATGCAACAGCTTCGTGAATTAGCTTCTAACCCCCATGGTCATGCCACACCAACTCTTGCGCCCAACACGTCGACTGGCGCGGAAGCGCTGCCGGAACGTCGAAGCGCACTCAAGCCGCAGAAACCCGAGTCGTTCGACCCAAGTCAACGCGAGGCGAACGTGCGGACGTGGCTCTTCATGCTGAACAACTACTTCGCCGCGAGCGGGGTGCAAGAGGCGGACGCGCAGCAGCGGATCGAGTATGCTGTTACACTGCTGAGGGGCCCGGCCTTGGAGTGGTGGCGCCAACTCACTCAAACTGCTGTAAGAAGGGCTCAAACGGACGGGCATCAACAGGGCGTGGGGCATGCAGCTGCAACTTCGAGCTTAGGGAGTTTAGCTTTGGATGATGCCACGGTTCCGACCACAAGGGAAGGATTTGAAGCGGCGCTGAAAAGTAGGTTCGATTTGGTGAACGCCTCCGAAGCTGCTAGGAAGCGTCTGCGTCATTTCCGACAGATAGGCAACGTCCAGGAGTACACGTGACGGTTCTTGAGCATCTGCAACGAGATAGACGATATCACAGAAGCAGAGATGCGCGATCGCTACCTCGAAGGGTTGAAGCCGGACATAGCGGAAGTCATTGCGATTCACGGGTTGTCCACCTTCGAGTCGGTAGTCGCAGCAGCAGAACGCGTCGACGCAGTACGAAGCCGACAGGGTCGTGACGATCGCGATAGGGGATACAACAGACCGATCAACGACGCTCGATCGACGGACGGACCATCGCCCATGGAGATTGGTGCAGTTAACAGTGACGGCTCACAGAAAATGGGATTTAGGGGGAACTGTCACTACTGCAAAAAGCCAGGACACATGAAGCGAGACTGCCCACAGCTTAAGGAGCGGCAGCAGGGAAACGGAAACCGCCAGTAGATAGCGGGTCGCTAGCTGGTGTGGAGGTTCCCGTACCCGCCACGTCTACCAACGTAGAGGAGACGACTTTGCAGCAGTCATCTTCGGAGAACGAGGTAGACACTGTTGATCGTCCAGTCGTGCTTCTAGGGAAGCTTCGCGGAGTTCCTGTTAAGATTCTCGTAGATAGCGGAGCTAGCCACTCGTTCGTCTCTTCATCGTTAGTTTCTCGTCTCCATCTCAAAGCAGATTCAGCAGTCAACTTCAAGGACGCTCGCATGGTAGATGGGACGCCACTTCACATAGGACCGATCATCCGCAAGTTGCGCGTAGTGCTAGGACCGATCACAGTCAGGCGTGATTTCGACTCTGCGACGCTGGACAGATACGATTTTATCTTCGGGAGAGATTGGCTACGGACGGTTAGTACTCAGTTCGATTGGGCTCAGGGAAGCTGCAGCGTCAAGGTAGACGGGGAGTTCCGGGAGCGGCCACAGTGGAGCGATGGGGCCACATCATCCACAGCTATCATTAATGATGTTCGTGTGCGACAGTTAGTGAAGCGTGCGGCACGGATCTTCGCGGTTTTTCTTGAGGAGGTGGAAGCTGAGGAGGGGAAAGGAGGGAGTGCAGCAGTTAGTGAGAAGGCGACTCTTCCTGCTGAGGTGAGTGCACTGTTAGCAGAGTTCGCAGACGTCTTCTCCGACGAGTTGCCCCCAGGGTTGCCTCCCAGCCGAGCAGTAGACCATCGAATAGAATTGGAGCCGGGGAGCAGGCCAGTAGCGAAGCCGCAGTGGAGGTTGAGTCCAGCGGAGACAGAGGAGATGACGCAGCAAGTTAGGCACTTTCTCGCACAGGGTTTCATACAGCCATCTAGATCGCCTTCGGCCGCACCGATACTTTTCGCACCCAAGAAAGACGGAGGGTTACGGATGTGCATAGATTACCGCGCACTGAACGCCGCCACCGTCAAGAATAGATTCCCGGTGCCGAGAGTAGAGGATCTTCTCGATGTAGTGCAGGGCGCTAGAGTCTTCTCAAAGATCGACCTTCGTTCGGGTTACCACCAGATTCGAGTAGTTCCAGAGGACCAGCACAAGACGGCGTTTCGTACGAAACAGGGGTTGTACGAGTTTAGGGTTCTACCGTTCGGATTGACCAACGCCCCAGCGACGTTTCAGACGCTCATGAACACAGTCCTCTCCGAGTTCCTAGGGTCGTTCGTTGTCGTTTACCTAGACGACATCCTAGTGTTCTCTAAGACGAAAGATGAGCACGTGCAGCACTTGCAGAAGGTCTTCAAGGTCTTACGGAAGGAGCAGTTATACGCTAAGCAGTCGAAGCGCGAGTTCTTCCTTCCAGAGGTCGAGTTCCTATGACACGTCGTATCCGCTAGTGGCATTAGGACTGACCCAAAGAAGATCGCAGCAGTACAAGATTGGGTAGCACCGACCTCAGTCAAGGAGTTGCAGAGCTTCCTCAGTTTCGCGAACTACTACCGTCGTTTTGTTCAGGGTTACGCATCGATCGCTAGTCCACTCACCGACCTACTTCGGAAGGGCGTAGAGTACGTTTGGGGTCCAGCGCAGCAGCAGGCGTTCGAGCAGATGAAGCAGTCGCTCACGTCTTCACCGACACTGTCGTACCCTGATCCCACTCGCCCATACGTTGTAGTGACCGACGCTTCCGATCAGGCCATAGGAGCAGTGCTTCTTCAGGACCAGGGACGCGGGTTGCAGCCGATCGCGTACGAGTCGCGTAAGCTTAGGGGAGCGGAGTTGAACTATCCCATACACGACAAGGAGGCGCTCGCGATCATCCATGCGTATAAGGTGTGGAGGTGCTACCTAGAGGGGGCAGATAGTGTTATACGCACGGACCACTGTTCGCTTCGTTTCCTCAAGTCGCAGCCGCAGCTGAGTCGTCGCCAGGCTAGGTGAATGGAGTTCATGGAAGGGAGCTTTCACTACAGGATAGAGTACAAGCCAGGCGTGCGCAACCCAGCAGATCCGCTCACTCGCCCTAGTTGTCAGCTCGCCAGTCTCACAGTCACTGCTGGCCACCCACTTCTCACAGCACTCTTCGAGCACGGTTACATAGTAGATCCCGACTTCACACCGCAGCCGCCCGCAGGAGCAGAGGTGCAGGGTAGTGTCTACATACGGAAGGGTACCACACGGATTTGGGTTCCAGCCTACCGCCCTCTTCGACAGCTCCTTCTCTCAGAGGCGCACAACGTAGTTAGTGCAGGGCACTTCGGAGCAGATAAGACGGCTAAGACGCTTAGTCGCACGTATTACTGGGCCGGGCTTGCAGCAGACGTAGAGGATTACATTCGCTCGTGCGACACGTGTCAGCGTACGAAGTCCTCTCGCCAGCGCAAAGCAGGACTCTTGCAGCCGATTCCACCGCCCGACCGCCCTTGGCCGGTAGT